TTCGAGGTCCTCAAAAAGCTTTGGTTAATATGTTTGCTAGTTGATCATTGGAGCTAACATACTTCGTAGCAAGACATCCAGATTGAATCTTTTCTTGCACAAAATGACAATCTATCTCAATGTGTTCGGTTCTCTCATGAAACACTGGATTGGAGGCTATATGCATTGCAGCCTGATTATAGTTTTAACCAGATAAATTCATATGTAGTTAAGGCTATGGCACGATATTCAGCTTCAACACTAGACTTGGAGACAACATTTTGTTTCTTACGCTTATAAGAAATTAGATTTCTACCAATAAATACACAATACCTTGAAGTAGAGCATTGATCAATCGAGCATCCGGCCCGATATGCATCACTATACCCAACAATTTGAGTATCATCTTAGGAATCATTCTTATCACTATAACCATAGTTAATTATTTGAGAATTTCCCTTGTCTTCATATAAGAGTCCTTGACCTGGGAATCCTTTGATGTACCTGAGAATCCAAACTATAGCTTCCCAGTGGATATCACATGGAGATTCCAAGAGCTAACTTACCACACTTACAGGGAAAAAGATATCAGGACAAGTGAGAGTGAGGTAATTGAGTTTTTCAACTAGTCTCTAATATCTTTCTGGATTTACAAGAGGCTCCCTTTGTCCTGGTAGAAGTTTGACATTTAGATCCATAGGAGTATCAACCAGTCGACAATCCAAGATCCTTGTCTCTTTCATAATATCAAGAGCATACTTTCATTGTGATATATCAACTCTAGCCAATGATTGAGCTACCTTAACACTCAAAAAATACTTGAGCTTACCCAAATCCTTTGTTGAAAGGATTTCATTAAGTGATTTTTGAGTTTAGAGATTGCATCCTAATCATTACCTATAATAACAATGTCATCCACATAAACAACTAGATAAATGCATTGCCTAAAGGGTAAGTGATGATAGAATACAAAGTGATCTGCAGCACTACGAATCATTCCATACTCTTGAAGAATGATGCTAAACCTACTTAACCAAGCTCGAGGAAATTGTTTTAATCCATAAAAGGATTTATGTAGTCTACAAATCTTCCCAGACTCCCTTGAGCAACAAAACCAGGAGGTTGCTCCATATACACCTCTTCCTCAAAGTCACGATAGAGAAAAGCATTTTATATATCAAATTGATAAAGAGTCCAATGAGTGATAGCTGCAATTTTGGCAACTAGCAAAAAACTATCATCATAATCGAGGCCAAAGATCTGGGTATAGCCTTTGGTAATTAATCAAACTTTCAACTGATCAATAAAACCATCAAGAGCAATCTTGATAGTAAACACCCATCTGCAACCAACCAATGACTTTCTAGGAGGTAAGGCGATTAGGTTTAAAGTATAATTAGTATAAAGAGTAGCCATCTCATCAAGCATTTCCTGTCGCCACCCAAGATGGGCAAGTGCCTCGCTGACATTCCTAAGAATGGTAACAGAATACAAAGAACACACAAAAGCAATATATGATAGAGATAATTGGTAATAACTCAAAAAATTATAAATAGGATAGGGATTACAAGTAGAATGAGTACCCTTACAAAGAGCAATAAGGGCATCATTACAGGGATGCTGGATCTAAGCAAGAGCCGGTACTAGAGTAGGGGGCAAGTCCACAAGTATATCACTAGGGCTTGCCAAGGAGGAAGGACGAAAGAGACGATGGTATGTTTGAATATTGAGTAGTTTATCAATAATGGGCGAACCAAGGTAAGGAAGAGGAAGGACCTCAGATAAAGATTGTTTAAACTTGAAGGAGAGAAAATAAAGAGAGGTCTCAAAGAAAGTAACATCAGCTGAGGTAATGTACTTGTTTGTAGTAGGAGAAAAATAATGATAACCTTTTTGAACTCGAGAGTACCCAAGAAAAACACATATAATGGCTTTAGCAGTAAGTTTGTCTTTGCCAAGAGTCAAATTATGGACAAAGCAAGTGCACCCAAAAACACAAGGAGGAAGTGAATAAAGAGGTGTAGAAGGAAACAAAATAGAGTAAGGAAATTCATTGTGTAAAACAAAAGAAGGCATGCAATTAATCACGTAACAAGCAGTGAGAACTACATCGGCCCAAAAACAATGTGGCATTTTAGAGTGAAGAAGAAGAGTGTGAGCAGTTTCAATAAGATGCTAATTTTTTCTTTCAACCACACCATTTTGTTGAGGTGTGTATGCATATGAAGACTGATGCAAAATACCCTAAGAAGATAAATAATGGACAAATAGGGTAGAGAAGTATTCCTTTGCATTATCACTTCATAGTATAGAAATTGAAGGACTAAACTGATTTTTAATTTCAGTACAAAAATATTGAAACATAAAGAGTACTCTTGAATGATTCTTTAATAAATATAACCAAATGCAATAAGAAATATCATCAATAAAAGTTACAAAGTATTGAAAATTGAGATTGCTTGTCACACGACTAGGACCCCAAATATTAGAGTGAACAAGTTTAAAAGGAGCATAAGCTCCTTTATTGATACGATTAGGAAACAAAGACTGAGTTTGTTTTCTAAGTTGACATGACTCAAAATCAAGAGATTGCAAAGTTGAAATAGAAGGAGCCATCTTCTGAATTTTAGAAAGACTAGGGTGGCTAAGACGACTGTGAACAAGATTTAGTAGGATGACAATGCAAGGGGCTAGTGATATAGTGAATGGAAAATAGTAAAGTCCTTGGGACTCACGCCCAACACCAATCATCCAGCCCGTACTTTGATCCTGCAAAATGACAAAGATATCACTAAAGATAATCAAACAAGAGAAAGCACGAGTGAGTTGACTAACAGAAGTAAGATTGTAAGGACATCCAAGAACATAAAGGACAGATTGCAAATTATTAAAAGGAGAAATGGAAGCTTAGCCGATTCCTTTAACTATAATAGAAGAACCACTAGCTATAATAATGGCCGGAAGAGAGATTGAATTAGTAAAGTGAAATGAAAGATTTTTATTACCAGACATATGAGAAGAAGCACCTGAGTCAATAACCCATGGTCAAAGAGAAGAATGAGTAAGACAAGCAGTAGAATTGGTGCCTGGGCAATAGAGGCAACATGGATGATTGCTTGTTGGCCTAGAACTGGAGATACTCTTTATAATAAGCTCCTCTCAAGGTAATGGAATTAGATTGCTGCGCATTAAGAGTAGAGGATGCATGCGAGTACAAGTCAAAAGTCTAAACAACATTGGCAATCAGAGAAGGTTGCCAATAAAGACTATAGCAACAGTCTCAAGTATGTCCCAACTTGTTATAGTAAGTACATTAAGGGCATTTTCGAGGACCACTACATCCACCTCTACCACAAGTAGGTTTTAAGAAATCAATAGAAGTAGTAGTAATAGGTTTGGGAGCAGCCACCGTATTAAGAGAGACTCAAATAAGATGAGTAAGGACATCATTTAGAGCCGGAAGTAATGATCCACCAAGAATTTAATCTCAAAGATGACTGAGAGCAGGACGAATATTGTATAAAGTAAGAACCATGAATAGTTTATCCCACTCTTTTTCCTCGACTTCAAAAGTAGTAGGCATTAGAGAGCGAAATTCCTAACGAAGAGACTTAATGCAACTGACATAAGCAATATCATCCATGTCCTCCTACTTTAAACTAACAAGAGAGGTAATCACATCGCAATAGTAACAAATATCATTGCTGTATAAAATGGCAACCTTATTCCAAACATCTAAGCAAGTCTCAAAAGACTAATATAAAGGAAGTAACTTGGGATCAATGAAATTCTATAACAAGGAACACAACTGAGCATCAATTTTAATCCATGTAGGTTGCTAAGCTTCAAGAATATCGGCTACTTGCTTGGTCAAGTGATCTAAATAGCCTTGTCCCTTAAATTAGAGATGAACTGAAGCAACCCAAGATTTGTAATTTAAAGGCCTGTGTAACTTCTTAGTAGTAATAATAAGGGTACCACTAGAAAAAGAAAAAACGGCAATGGTCTTGGATTTTAAGGTAAACATCATAGAAGAATCAACCCTAAGATTAGAAGGAGAAGACCTTAGCAAGCACAATGGAGCAAAAGGCAGTGAGAATGGACATCAGACAAGCCTTCATGGGCTAAGAAGGTGAGGCTACACAGAGAAACAAAGGTGACATATGGGAGTGCGTGCGGCAACCGATGGCAACAAAACTCCAAGGACTAATCGATCGACGGCCTTTAGACACGGTGGTGGCGTGCGTGTAATGAACGAAGGTCATATAGCAATAGGTCAGTCAATAGAGACACACGGATGAACAATGACAAATGGAAGAACAGAATTCAAAAAGAAAAAAGAGATAGGCTAGAATGAAGCACGGCCTTAAGAATTCAGAACCACAACTCTAATACCATATTAAATTAAAGAAAAGAAAGTGATTAGAAAAAATGTACTCAATGTTTTTACTGATCTATCGATTTTCATATATATATATATATATATATATATAAAGGGAATATACAAGACAAAGCGATAAATACTTACACCTAACAACTACTTTAGTTAACTCTAATAAACACAAAGAATAAAACAAAGAATTCTCAACATATATATTTTGCAATCTACGGACATCAAATAGAGATTTGAGTGAAGAAATTTCATAAAGTGAAAAATTGGTTCTGGCATGCATGACATGATGAGAAAAAGAATAAGAAGTGAAAAATGAGATTGAATGAGGTGGTGGGAAAAAAATCAACAGAAACTTAGTATGGTGAACCTCATAGAACTCTAAGCAAATACTCTTCTAGACCATAAATGGTCCAAAGAGCACAAACCATCTTCTAAGGTACAACATTATTCAGATATACCAGTGTATTTAATTCATTTCTCCATAAAAATGACATGAAAAAGCAAGCAAATAAAATTTGGTTTATCCATTTTCCTTCCCTCTCGTGTGATATAAAACCATTAGTATATTACATGAACAATTAGTCCCACATACTCCACACACCAGAGACTAAATTATTATATATCCATATTTGAAAGAAAGCAAAACAACATGATATTATAGATAAGTCCAAAAAAGCTACAAACATCTGGTAGTTAAATAACTACATTCATCATTCTGCAAAACACATCTAAAAAGGCATCAAGGATTCCACCAAAAGTGCTTAGGAAGGTTAATCTACAATGTAACAATTAAGACTTAGGATCTAGGCTCTTTCTTCTTCTTCTTCCTCCTCCTTTAGGACTGCCGCCTAGGCTCTTCAATGTGGATGTTGCCAACCGGCACAAGGCTTTCCACATAATTGAAAATATTACGAAAACGACTGCCCCTGTGGATTGTCAAGAACTTAGATTCATTAGTACAGACATTGAACAGACATATAACAGCTTTTGGTTTATCATCCTCCCACTCATCTCTTTCAGTTACATCAACAGAGCAAATAATTTCATTCCCCCACATGGTCACTGGCATTAAAAAGTATGGATAGGATTTGCTCCTATATTTCTTGGTCCAATTCGACTTCTTCCCTGATGCACTGGTTACCTCCTCCATCACCCACAACTCAACTTGGAAGATTCTTCGATTCGCAGTGAGACAAACGATAGCTAGTTTGTTGTCATGCTCAGTGAGGTAGGCAGTCGAATTATAGCCTAAATCAGGCCATGGCATCACGGTGAACACTTCCGTTGCTATGTCAAAGGAAACTAACAAACTATCAATATCCTCAGCATTTTCATCTATGCCATTTGCACCATAAAAAAACACAGCTCCATTAACAGTGACAACATTGATAAAGTCAGAATAAACTCGCACACCCTCTAAGTTCCTAAATTCTATTTCTTTCCATGACCCAGTGCTTAATGAATACACTTCCACTCGCTTAACAGCGTTTTCATACTCAGCATAAGTTCTGACTATCTTGTAATCATTAACAATAGGAGAGAATCCAAATCCTAAAGCGCAATCACCATCAGAACCATGCATAGCTACTGACAACGGTCTGACCTCTCTAGTCGATGGATTCCACAGTAAAAGGGAAGGAGAAGAAACACCATACCTATCGATTTCAACACAGACGAGGCCGTTGCTGGAACCGATAATCTTAGCACCCAGCAAGGAACCCATCAAAGGTGGGTTCGGAACTTCAAAGATTCGCATCTCGCGACTGAGCAAATAGAAACGCAAAGGATCATTTCTATAATTCTGTTGCAAAAGAAGAGAAGGGATTTGATGACTGGAATGGTGGAGCTGATCTGCGATGAAAGATGGGGTCTTGATGAGATTTTTCCACTCTTTGGAAACACATTGGAATCGAACTAGGGACTTCACAGGCAGTCGTTTGAGAATGTTTCGGACGATTTCTTGAGGAAGAAATGGTGTAGCACCGTCCATCACAATCTGCTCCAATGTTGCTTGACTGGTAAGAACGAATCGCTCAAGGGGAAGCCTTCGCCATTAGGGAGGGATTCCTGGAGTGGACTATGGAAGAAGCGAGCTATCTCGCATTTGTATTTTCATTTAAATACGAACCGTTAAATACGAAATATTCCGTACATTTAATTGTATATTAAAAAAAATCATTTAATTCTTATAATTTTAATTTAATTATAATTTAATTTTTAAATTCTAACTTATCATAATTTAATTATCATAATTTTAATTTATTTATAACTTAATTTTTAAATTTTAATATTTTTAAATTAATCTTTAAATTTTAATATTTTCAACTCAATCTTTATAATTTTAAATATTTAAATATTTTATTTTTATGTTTTAAAAAATAAAATTATAAAAATTAAAAATATTTTAAAATTTTAATATTTATAAAATTTATAAAGATTGAAAAAGTTTGTTAATATAAAATATTAATAATAAATTTTAATATAATTTTAATTTTTATAATTTTATTTTATAAGATATAATAATTAATATATAAAAAATTAAAAATACAAGAACTGACTTGCAGCTTATAAGAATTAAAATTAAAAAATTAAATTATAAATAAATTAAAATGTTAAAGATTGAAATATAATAAATTAAAATTTAAAAATTAAATTATAATTGAGTGTAAGAATTACATAATTAATTTTTATTTATATTTAAATACGAGAAAGACATTTATTCTCTCATGACCTAATTTTACTCTTTCTCTATTCATGGAGGGTCCCATTGTGACGAGAATTGAGTGTTTTTGTCGACAATTGTAACAATTTGTTTGCATATAAGATTAATGAGTAAATAAAATTTTAAACTATTATTCAAATATAACTCTATATCTTGAACTCTTAAAATATAAAAAATAATTTTTAAATTTTTAAATTTATAACAAAATAAATTTTGTTAATTTTTTAACATCGTTATTGTCCATACAGATACAATTCAGAGTTTATTTTTCTATAAATTTAACCCTTATTATTATAGTACCCGTGTGGATAGTTACAGTATTAAAAAAGTTAACAGTGAAGGTTTATTTTTTTATGAATTTAAAAGTTTAAGATTTATTTTACATATTTTAAAAGTTCAAAATTCAAAGCAATTTTTAAACAAGAATTCAGAGTCCTATTTACTCATTAACTCTTGTGTATATTTGAATTCAATTCATTATCAGCAAATTATTACTATTATTTTTAATTGTAAAGGATAAAAAATTGACAAGTTATATATAATTTTAACAAATCTAAATGTATAACTACTATCCCTCAATAATAGCAAAGGTAATTAATTTTACCATATAAATATTTTTTTTTATCAACAAGGAAAACACAGAAAACTACTCACCATTCAATTTTATATAATTATAACCAAATGGAGTAAATAGACAATACCCATGTTATGAAAATTGAATCTGCTATTAAACCCATTCAGGTATTAGTTTACAGTTTAATAGTTGGACCACAATCTAAACTGTAGTTTAGTTGATCATAAATAAATTAATATATTTTAAATATTATAAATAAATAATAATATATAATAGTAAAAATAAATATTTAAATTTCAAACAAAATAATATGCAATAAAAGAGATAATATCATTAATATTACATCATTTTCATCCAATACATATATAATTATTTTATAATTTATAATTTATAACTTTAATACACACACATAAATAATTCATATATATACTTCTTTATTTTTTTTTCATTTCATAATGCTTATTGGGCATAAATATGTATAAATTATATTTAAAAAATATAAATAAAAAAATAATGTATTCAATTCAACCAATTTCTCACCAATTTTATCAATTTTAGCTAGTTCATTTGGTTCATAGAATGAGCAATTTTTTGTAGTAACTGGATCGAATCTATAACTGACTCTCGATTGAATTAATTAGACCAACCAGTTCAGTCTAGTTTTACTAACATGCAAAATACCATCTTTTGCAAACATCAAATAGTTTAAATTTAATTTTTAGATGATTTACAATTGCTAATTTAAAATAACTAACGAGATTTCATTATCGAGTAGTATATAATGAGATTGGAGACCACTTGATGCCCTCCTAAATGGGACAATTTCTAGAGGTGGCCAATATCTGAAAGAGTTAAAATGTTCATGTGGCAAGTGTATCACCTAAGACTTCCAGCTAACTTTCTTAAAGCCAAGAGAGGCTTCTTTGATAATCTTTTATGTCCTTTTGAGTGTAATAGTGAGAAAGAAATCTTGCATATTCTCCATAGTGCCTTTAAGCGCGTGAGATTTGGAGAGCTTTTATTAACATAACATGCTTCAAAGTTTTTTTTTTTTTGGTAATTTGCAGGTGTTGCTTAAATGGAATTCTCAACATAGTCCATGCTACAACAGATTCAAACAATGGCCGTGGACTAGAATTTTTGGATCGGTGCTGGATCCTCTGAACAACTAGAGTATGGCAGTTGTCGACTATATGGCAAGAAACGCCCATGGAGGAGGCGAGACCTTGGTAGTAGTGGACTGAGTTCCTCAAGAGTGCAGGGAATTAACGCAGAAGGACTACGACTGTAATTGTTAATGTTTTGTGTTTGCTTTAGTAAGCTCTAGTTAATTGTATCTACCCAAGCTCTCAGCTTACCTTCTCGTATTCAAAAATAAAAAAACAAAAACAAAAAGTAGTATCAATTACCAGTAACCCCAAAGCCTCTTTAAGTTAAATCATCATTTTTTATCAAAGAAGTTAAATCATCATTAATGTATAAGATTTTTCAAATACAATTAGAGTGGTTGGTCCAAAAGAATACAATTAGAGTGGCAGGAGATTCAACTTTTTAATGACTGGAATTTGCCCCGCGGTGACTGCATGTCTGCATTGGTCTCTAATGAGACAGAAAATATGACATCATGAATGGGGATTATAGAATGAAGCCAAAAAGCTTTTTACCGCTGAGATAATAATATACTCTCTCTATTAAAAAATATAAAATATTTTAATTGAATTTTACCTCCAAATAAAACAATTACATATCTCTAATTAATATTATCTTTTTATATTTATCCTTATATAATAATAGAATGTTTCATTTTAAAATAAATATAAAATAATTATTTGATAAGGACACTTTAAAAAAAATGCATTGATTTAAAATACTATTAAAAATGCCTTATATTTTTTTAACATTTAGCTCATTAAAAAATGCTTTATATTTTTTTTAGAAAAGAAGTATAACTTAATCAAATTAATTTGGCATTAGCTTTGATAAATACAGACCAATTTTAACATGTCAAATAAGAAAAGCTACTACTTTTGCAAACATTTTGTTCAATCAAAACTACGCAGATTGGCAACAAGAAAAGTTAACTTCAACTTTTAAGCAAGAATTGGATATAGTCCGAAGAATCACGAAAAATATGATAAGCAAGAATTTTTAAGATAACGTTATAGATGTTGAGCTCTTTAAAAGTGATGTTTCACTGTATGCTGAATTCATTAGTTACATAATTCAGAGAATAACAAACAAGCATGCCTTTTGAACAAAAGAAACCAAACTAAGATCTCACAAGACAAAGAGACCCCAAAAAATTGAAATAAACCCACAAGCTAAAGGAATTTAGTCTCATCTTTCTTCAAATCATGCATAAGGGTGCTTCTGACTGTGATTAGAAAAACATAAATATAACAGTTTTTTTTTTTTGGCTGCATCAGATATAACACTAAACAATATAATTGTGGACCTCAAATGACTCCGAAAAACTTTCGGTTTAATTCATTTTCTCCATTAGCAATGAAAATAAAACGCAAACAACTCAAATTTACTTCACTTTTATTCCTCGTCATATTATACATGAAACCATTGGCATATTGCATGAAGAAAATTTTCTGCTCCATCATCCCCAATTTCACATTCAATGTAATCAACCAGTCTAAAGAAAAACATCTAATTTCTTCCACTCTCCACTGATATTAAACAAAACATAAAAGACAGAAGTTCAAATAAATAACATCTAACAAAAAAGTCACACACTTCAACAAGAATGTTACTAAAACGATGGCATAACATAACAATTTAAATGCAGAGTTTATAATGGTGACTTCTTTTTAATTTAAGACAATTTGTTTGAAAATATCAGAGATAACTTTCTTATTGGAGCGTAGTTAAGTCCCTTTTTCATTGAATGGCCCATCCCTGTCGTGGATTATACGATATTTTTCAACATCAAAATAGACAACCTATCACTGAAAATGAAATATTTCTTAAAAGCTACATGATAACCGCATTGCTCTCCAAAGGGACAGAAAACATAACATGAATACCGTAGGGAGTTTATACAATGAAGCAAAAAAGCTTTTTACTGAGATACATACCTAAATAGAATTAATTTGGCATGAGCTTATATGAGGCAGTAAGATAAATACAGAACATTTAAACAGGTCAAAAAAGTAAAGCTACTAATTTTGTAAACATTTGTTCCTTGAGTGGTTCAAAAACTATGCACAGTGGCAAATCATTGTCAGTAAATGACTTGAAGGCCACATGGAACGTACATAAAATTTAAGTTCTTCCATCATCTGTTCAAATTCATAGTCATTTAACAAACTCAACAGAGGGTAATCACCAATTCAGCTTCAAACCTTAATATAGTTTATGTTTTATGACAATGGCACTCCAGAAATGCATGCAGGCAAATATTTGCTTCTGTTTAAAGTTCACTGAAAGTCCATAATGGGGAATATTAGGAATTCAGTGAGATAGAACTTAAGGCAAATTTATACTCACATGAAAATGAAACAAAAGGAACGCTTTATTACAAGAGTTGCCATTCGCAACTGTTTTTATCTTGCCAATCCTTCAAGAATTGGATATGATTGTCGTTCCCCTCAAATCAGTCAATATAGAAGTCTCGTAAGGGCTCAAGTCAAAATAATATTAAAAAGAAATACAAGAATGGGAAGTTCATCAAAACTTAATGTTTTAGATTATGTGGTTTACAATTCATAGTTCAAGAACTTGTTCAATTGAAGATACACAGCAGCTTGTAGCTCCTTTGTAAACCCACATATAGTATCTTTTGAAAAGACACAATGATGCGCTTCATGCCCACAATGGGGGGAAAAAAGAAATCAGAACTATTGAAAGAAAAAGAAATTGTGATCGCTTTAATTTGGCAGAGTCATGTTAGTAGTATAATGATATGCATGTGTTCTGATATGATTCTCCTCTCCTATCAAGTCTAAATAAAGACTCAATCAGTCATTATAAGATTCTCCCGCAAATGATTTTCTATCAGGGTTAAAACCAACTATATAGAAATTTATGGGTGATACTGGCAACCAAAACATGTCAAGTTAAGGCTGCAAAGCGGACCCCAACATCTATCTTTGCACTTTTCATTAGGTCACTGATAATTATGTTTATACAAAGCCTCAGGATTTGTGCATCGTGAATCAAAATATGGCGCAAGAAGTTATGAAGTCTCGGAAACATTCCACGTCAAGTAGAAAAGATATAATGATAAACAAAAGGCTGAACTAAAAATACAATAAAAATCAAAGCAAACAAAATAAAGAGAGAGAGAGAGAGAGAGAGAAACAGATATTTCTGCTGGAATTTCTAATTGGAAAGGAAAGGGAAAAAAACCATATGAACTAAGACGCCCTATGCTAACCGGACTGGCCACTAATGCTGAATCTAAGATGATTTTTTCCAAACCTGATTCGTGTCCTCACCCTCAACGCAGCATAGCTCTGTTTGTCCTCGGACAATCTGGCACAGTCATGTATGTAGTATAGTAATATGCATGTGTTATGATATGATTCTCCTATCAAGTCTAAATAACGTCTCAATTTGTCACTATAAGATTCTTCCGCAACTGATTCACCTTCAGAGTTAAAAAAAACAATATAGAAATTTATGGGTGATACTGGCAACCAAAACATGTTAAGTTAAGGCTGCAAAGCGGTTCCCAACATCTATCTCTGCACTTTGAATTAGGCCGCTGATAATTAAGTTTATACAGAGCCTCAGGATTTGTGCATCGATGAATCAAAATATGATGCAGGAAGTTAAGAAGTCTCGGAAACATTCGACGTCAAGCAGAAAAAATATAAACATAAAACAAAAGGCTGAAATAAAAAATGCAATAAAATCAAAGAAAAATAAATTTAACGAGAAACATACCTTTCCGCTGGAATTTCTAATTGAAAAGGTAACGAAAGAATCACAAGAACCATTCCGTAGACTGGGCTTGAAGATTTTGTTTTCTTCTTTTAATACTTCCGATGAGCGTGGATTTAAAAAAAATTGTTAGATCAGGTCTGGCCGCTAATGCTGAATCCAACGATTTTTTTCGAACCTGATTCACGCCCTCAACGCAGCACAACTCTGTTTCTCCTCGAGAAGGCTACAGGGAACGATCCTTCAACCCTGCTTGGCTTGGAAAGCCGTGAGCGACGAGCGAAAAGCTATTTTATAGCCAGCGAAGGTCGGCGCTTGGAAATGACCGTTGGGATTAGGGTTTACAGAAGAGGAGCCCTGAAGTGCCTGTTTGGACAACGCATATAATCAAGATAGAATTTCAGTAGGGCCGCTATAAAAATTTAATTTTAGGTGGATTTAAAAAATTTTTTAATTTCAGTTTATTTTAAGAGAAAAAAGTCAAAAAAAATTTTAATAATAAAAAAAAATTAAAATACGCTTCACTTGTTATACAGAATACTAATTGTTAATTTTTTTACTATATTTATTAATTTACAATTATCATTTGTAAACTACATCCGACCATACAATTAACAACATTAATTATTAATTTCTTAACTTTAATTATTAATTATAATATCTGTTAGTATTTATAATTGATATTAGTAAATTATAAGACATCTCAATAATTAATAAGTAATTTTAAAAAATTAATAAATAAAGTTAACAAGTTAGCAATGATATTGCTACTTATGATTGCATAATCGATTTTAAGTTTATATAATGATTAATATATCAACTCATGTAACTTGAAACTCATATTTATAAATTAACAAATACAGTAATAAAATTAATAATTAGTAATTCTGTAAATAAATGAAAGATATTTTAGTCCTTTCACAGTCAAATTCTTTTGACTTTTTTTCTTGGACTAAAATAAATTTTAAATTTTTTTTGGACTCACCTGAAATTAAATATCTACTGTGGTTCTTAATTGAAATTGTCCCTATAATCAATTTTAGATGTCAAAGCCATGTTTTTGCAAAAATATATCTAAACGCTTCTATTACATGTTAAAATTAATTATAATTTAAAATCATGCTTTTCTAAGAATATTCAAATACCCATATACATGCTAAAATTAATTTTGATCCCCAAAATTATGTTTTTCTTTAAAATATCCAAACACATCTATATATGTCAAAATCAATTATAAACCCAAAAATATGATTTGTAAAATAATTTATATGATTTTTGATAAATTTTAAAAAAAATTATGATTGAAAAATATGAATTAAAAAGAAGGTAATAGTAGCTTATTAAATAACCATAGTTTTTAGTTCATAATTAATTTTGACATGTATAGGAATGTTTGGATATTTTTAAAAAACTATAGTTTTGAGTTTACAATTGATTTTGACATATACAATGGATGTATGGATATTTTTTGAAAAACATGATTTTAGATTCATAATTGATTTTCACATAGAATAATGATATTTGGATATATTTTCACAAAATCATAGTTTTACTTAATTTTCAATTCTGCTTTCCAATTCTACTTTTCAGTTTTAATTAAAATCAATCTTATTAATTAGTTTATTTTAATTGAAACAAATATTATTAATTAATTTATAAATTAATTATATATCTTATAACATAATCAATTATATTCAAAATCAATCACATTAATTAATTTTTTATAATTAATTATACCCCAATTAAAATTCAAACACACCTCCAATTAGTTAATCTGGTGGTTGCTTGATACTGAAATCACAAATTTTTAATTTTTTTTCACTCAAAATGATCTTTTTATTGTAGAAAAAATGATTTTTTTAACAAATCATAATTATTATAATGGAAAAATGACAATAATTTCTTCAAATTATATAACTGATAATCTGATTACTCAAATAGGGGTTTGTTATTTTAAAAATTTATTTTTCAATAATAGAAATTATAATGCCAAATTCTAATTTCTGTTTAATTCTTACAATTCACAAAATAAAAATTATGATTAAAATTTTTTTATAATAAAAATTATATTTCATAAATTATAATTTTTTGTTCAACTCTTGTGATTTACATAACAGAATTTTTGATTTCTTAAGCAAAAGTTTATAATTAAGACTTATTTTTTTAATTAGAATAAAATAATATTTTTAATTTAAATTTTATCAATAAAGAGATCTCTAAATACTTTAATAAAATTATAATATTACGAGAAACTAAATTATTATTTATATCATTTAAAAAAATTTTATTATTCTTTTTCTATTTACAAATAGTTAAGCTTTCCGGTAAAGAAGAAAAATGAAAGCTAGGTTTTCCGGTTTTTCCACTTCGCGATTATGACACCCTTCTTTTTAAAAGATGTTTTAAATAAAATTTAAAAATTAACATATTTTTATAATAATTCTTAGTATCTTTTTAAAAAGCATCATATTTACTTAATTAAAAAATTTACAACTCGTTGTATCTTTTGTCAATATATGCTTTTATATTTTATTTTACTTAGTAGGATGATAAATAAAAAAATTTAAATTTATTTTTCTGATTTTATAACAAAATTCTTTAATTTATTTCACTTATTGTCAGAAATAAGATTTATTAACTCCAAATGAAAATAATTGTCATGACAACTCAAAAAAAAATTTAGCAAAAAAATTAGTTTAATCAAAATCTAAAAAAAAAATTTGCAGAAAAATTATTATAAATTAATAAGTAGACATAAATAAAGGATTAAAGGGTAATTTGGCCTCTAAATTATATGCTAAGGAGCATCTAGGATCATAAATTTAATTTTAGTATAATGTCTCCTTTAACTTTTAAAAACTATACAATTTTCACTTTTGTTATTAATAAAAGTTAACTTTAATTATTAGTTAACTGTAAAATGACAAAAAAACCTAAACATTAGAGAAATAATTCAAAACATGTTAGTAAAGGCCTTCAAATTACATAAAAATGATGTATATTTTTTGGTAACTAACAGTTAAAATTAATTTTTATTAATAATAAAGGATGACATTGTACTATTTTAAAAAATGAAAGATTAAATTTGTACTAAAAACGAGCTTAAGATCTCAAAAGTTTATGGAGTAACAAATTGTCATCTAACCTTAAAATAAATGCAAACATCACAATCAAAAATGACAAATATATTGAAATATAAATCATCAATTTAGAAGGTGAACCATCTTTATGGACAATAATGTCCATGAATTATATATATATATATATATAGATATAACTAAAAAATTTCAAGTTGCCATATATGTTTGCAAGGAGGCTTACAATTGTACTGCCCGAAAGTTGATATTTAGTTACATAAATAGCTTTTACTCCCTACCACACGGGAAGCATGCACTTTCATTATATTCAAATTACAAATTAATAATCTCTCTTTTTTGACCAATTGAAAAATATCGTTATTGGGGATTTATTATCAAGCCTTGAGCATCATTAAAAAGCATGAGAAATACTGCATTGAATCTATATTACATTGCCAACATAATTTTCAGTTTCACTGTTGAAAGGCGTATATTTAAGCATTTAGTTTTAGTCGCATTCTTATAGTTTGAGTCATCTACAAGCTATGACAAAAACCTAAATGCAAATAACTTATCCATTTAATTGAAAGAATAATATAAATTTAGTTCTTCATATAAAGCTATGCATGATGCTCATAGCCCAAAAAGATCTCCATGTTAAATATGTTCACTGGTAAGTCTGCATTGAAGTGATACAAGTCCAAGAAAATTTACTTGTCAACATCAAATTAAAATAGTACAAAGAAACAGAAAAATAAAAAATCAGCACATAGATGGAATTTCAAGTCCCTTTTTTTTCAAAAAAAATAATCAAGCAGACACATCATAAGAAACTCAAAGCTATTCAACAAATAGAAAAGGAGGATACTATCTATGTTTTCATTGAACACCATCAAATATTGAAAGGAAAAAAATTGGAACTGGGAGAAAATATTAATCTTGAGCAGGGTGAGTTGAGAATTGGAACTGAGAGAAAATATTAATCTTGAGCAGGGTGAGTTGAGCATGGTCTCATATCAAGCTTTAAAGCCAACAAAATAAAGCAACCTGCAAGAGAACCCAAACATGCAAACATATCAATTAGAAGCTTATTACTATAAGAAACTACGGATAAACCACTCAGAGCTGCCAATTTGCTCTTCCTCCTTTAAACCATCGTTAGCTAGGCTCCCCAAAAGCTAATATCATGAAGACACTTCTACATATAAGGGACAACTAATTGCTCATGTCTTGGAAATTGCATGAAGACATTTCACTCTTCCACCTTTCAATTTTATTGTGCTTTAACCATCTGTATCTCCAGGTTCAATCTGATAAACCCTTTTTTGTCCCAAACTTAAAAAAATTCTGAACCCTTTGGGATCAAACGAACGCAAAGTTGTAAAACAACCTTTTTCATTAAAGCTCCTTTCTATGCACATTCAATTCTTTCGATGTAAATCATGTCATGTGACATGATTTATAAATATTTAAAATCACCCCTGCAACTATGTTACAGTAAATAATACAACAGAATTAAAATTTAAAATTTTCAACTGGCCACTCAAAATTATAACGACCATCTTCCCCAATCCAACACATGGATGGCCAGAATAGAATTTGGAAGCTAACATAAACCGGAATTGTAGTGACTATTTTCAGCAACGCACCAGGAATCTTGACAACAAAAAATCATCACTAATAAATGATAGCACTTTCACAACCTTTTGTAACATGAATACAACAACAACAAGCCTTTATCCCACTAGGTGGGATCGACTATATAATTGCAAGACACCATTGTGTTCTATCATTTATCAAGCTTTTAGGAATATTATTAATTAAGAGATCGCGTTCAACAACTTCCAAGAGTGTTCTCTTAGGCCTTCCTCTACCTCTCTTAATCGGACTCAAAGTTATATGTTTCACTCTTCTCACTGGTGCCTCCCTTGATCTTCTTTGTACATGCCCAAACCATCTCAACCAATTTTCTACCATTTTTTCCTCAATAGGTGCCACCCTCACTTTTTCGCGTACGTGCTCATTTTGAATTTTATCTTTATGTATATGTCCGCACATCCATCGTAACATTCTCATCTTTGCTACTCCAACTTTATGCTCTTGCTGTCTCGTTAGAGCCCAGCATTCACTACTATATAACATTGTCAGTCTGATAGCAGTGCGATAAAACTTTCCTTTAAGTTTATTAGGCACCTTACGATCGCAAATAACTCCTTTAGCTTTTCTCCA